GTCGATTTTCTGTCAACTTGTTTGTCTTCACACAAGCTCGTGATTTCTGGTACAAAAGTCTCGTTTTGTGCAATGGTAAGCCAATACGTTTCGGCTTCTATCAGTTCTTTGCTTGAGAGAGGTCCGCTTTGTTTGTCTGCTGTCTTGGCACAATTCTTCACGAAACGTTTGATCCAAGCAGTTACGCGGATCACCTTGGCTGCCGAGTTGTACCTTTCCAAGTCGAAAACTGGAAACAGAGCTGGTGCATTTACTTGTAACACCATTGCCTTCTTTTCTTCCGCTTTGTTGTCCGCAACCTGGCGAGCGTTTTCCACTTGACCTGGCCAGTCTTCTTCATTGCCTGGCAGTGAAACTTGGTATCACTCGTTCTCAAACTTTACGGATTTGTCGAATTCGCTGAGCAATTCCGTCTCTGAAGTCTTCGTCACGTTGTCAGCTACTCCGATGAGCTCAAGTTCCCAGAATGATCTGGGCTGAGCCGAAATTTCCGCGTCGTTTGTTTTGGACGCAGTCACCCTCATCACTCCAGTTGTTGGCGAGTAGGTGGTCGCAGAAGTAGAGGTAACGGGACCCTGAAGTGTCCACCCGAGGACGGTGTCGACTGCCATCAGCTTCTCATTCAAGCGCTTGACTCTGCCGTTCACAATGTCCCAGAAATGATCGGCTCCGATGAGAAGGCTGATTCCCTCCTCGCATGGATTGCTCCAGAGCTCCACATCCGCGAGGTTTATTCCGTCAGGCAGCACCCGCAGTTCCTCGGAGGGGCTGTTCATGACATCTGAGCAGATGTGAGGAACCTCGAGGGCTTCTATTCTTACGGATCTTCTGTCGTATTGGCTGCGGAGCCACAGTTCCACTCGCTTGCATTTCGTTTTCGTTGCTGCATCTCCAAACGTGAAAATGGTCAAGTCCTCCTCACTCAGTTCCTTCAGGTGAAGTTTCTTGGAGATGGTTTGGCGAAATAAAAGTCCGCTGGCTTCCGCCGTCGATGAGAAGTCTAATCCGGCAACGCTCTCTTTCACCTTCTGCCCAGGCTTGAACTGTCTGCAGAAGTACTCGCTTTCCCCTGTTCCTTTCCGAGTTTGTTATCTTGAGCGTTGACTGGAGTGTCGTTCCTTCCGAAGTTGATGTTTCACCGGTGTCCGCCATTTCTTTTGCCGTAGTCTTATGCTGAGGCTTGAAGTTTGGGTCGCACATGGCACTTGCGTGTCTCCCTGCACACTGCACACACTTCAGCCACTTTGCACTTCTGCAATCGTTTGCTCAATGGTTTTTCTTGGTGCAACAATAACATCGGTTTTCAGCCTTCAGAACACACTTGCGTTCGTCGTTGGTCATTGAGGATGTGCAGTCCGCAGTCAGATGAGCACCTGATTTGCAGAACACACAGTTCTTTTCATCCAGGCCTGCTGCCGTTGTTAGTACAGATGCAGAAGGAGGATAACGACTCTGCTGATCTTTCCTTGCACGAAAGCTTCTTTGATCCACGGTTCGTGGCACGGAATGTCCTGACCCATATAAACTTCTTACTCGGCTTTCTATCTCGATTTTCAGGAAGTCCAGAAAGTCTCTCAGCTCGTTGTGCTTTGCCGCTGTTCGTGAGGCGGACCTCCGGTTGTACTCCAGGCTCAGATCGGCCGGCACGACCTTTCGAAGAACGGTAAGGAGCATCGTACCGTAGGTATCCGATTGAACCCCCAGGGCATCAAGACTTCGAACTCCCGTCTCCACTTCATTGTATAACTCTCCGAGTGCATCGACGTTCCTAGAGTCATGACCTGGTTTGATCTCCAGCAGTCGTGACAGATGGCTTTCGATGATTTGCTCCTGTTGACCAAATCTTTCCTTCAAGAAATCGATTGCAACTTTGTAGTTCTCGGCAGTAACGGCGAGTCCCTCAATTGCCGCAGCAGCTTTGCCGGTCAGGTAGCTTTTGAGGTACTTGAACTTGTCGATTTCCTAAGGACTTTCGTTCTGGTGAATGGTACAGCCAAACTGGCTCCAGAATCCTTGCCATGCTCGTATATCCCCTTGGAATTTCGTTACCTCAAGTTTCGGGAGCTTCACTGCCGTAGTCATCCGTCCTCGATTTGCGATAGTTTTGACGGCCGTGTTCTGCATGAAAGGTAACCCGGCAGCGGCTTGTTCACGTTCTGTCAGCTTGTTTCGCAATCGCGTCTTCGTTACGCAGATTCTTTCATGGTAAACTTCCGCGCCTGTCATCTCCTCTTCTATCGATTCGCAGTCCACGACTGCTTCCATGTAGCGGTCCAGTTCCTTTAACGTTGATTCTTTGGACACCAGAAGTTCAAACTTTTCTTGAAGCTCACCCGTATCCGTGTCTACCGTGGCCAGCAGAACGTCGGTTTCGTTCAGTAGTTTCATTGTTGACGTTCGGACCACTGCTCTTCTGCGTCTTAGTCGGTCGATTGTAGCTTGAGTTGCCATTTCTTCGTTCGGGGTCTTTGTTGGCAGTTAATCCCGGGTTTCGGCACCAGAAAGTTTTTGTTGTTAATTGACAACCGCAAGGTTTAACCCAATGCGAACGGTTTATTAGTCTAAATCTACAACTCAAGCTTCGGTAAACACAGAAGAGGTCTTTTGCGTGGCGTCTTTCGTAGCGTTCCTTTTCGATCTCTCTCTGAGAACCCCGTCGTCCCATGAGCATTTTCCTTCTCCTCCTCCGACCGACATTTCAGATTCCGCTTCTTTCCCCGTCCGCTTTCGCACCCCCAGATGGTTGATGGCGGCCGGCAGGCATCTCGTCTTGCTCAAGTTCGCCCGAGCTGGTGTAAACATCATGTGAGGCCACGGGCAAAGCTCAGGCTGTCAGGAGCCAGTTGAGGTTACCTGAGCATCCACGTGCTTGTCTCTTTTTTCTTTGTGTGTACAGTATAGACCACTTACAACGTAACCGCTTATAGTGCAGGACCGGGTATAACGCGGTTTTTTTAAACCACCGGTTTGCCTCCCATAGAACTCCATGTAATTACATACCGCTTAAAACGCAGGCGCGCGAAGGGAAATACCGGTTATAGTGCGGTTTCTGGCACAGCCCGCCGACCGCGCCGACGACCGGAGCAGCGAGCACGCTTCCCTGTGCGACACTAGATAACTGCGCTGACAGCGCGAGCCGCAAGCGCTGCGCAAGCGGCACTCGCGGGGCAAGGAGGTTGCTCGAAGAAGCGGGAGAAGCGAAGAGAGAGGTTTCAGTTGCCCTAGCGACGGAGGGACGCACGTACGTGTTGTTCACGTGCGTGCGTCCCTCCGCTGCGTTAGAAACCAACAACCGCAACGACAGACCAATCGCAGGTCGAGGAGAAGTCTTCGCGCGCGTTGCATGCATGCCGGTCGCGGGCCGGCTGCTGGTTGTGATCAACGTTGTGATCGTCGTCGTAGACGGCGTTCATCTCATCGTTCCGCGTAAAAGCGCTATCCTTGACTGAATTTTCGTTGTGTGTCGCTATGATAACCCAGCACGTACTAGAAGGGAAGATCCACCTACTCGAGCGGCGATGTCGTGGCGGCGCTCTCAAGACGGCAGAAACGCCCGTGTCGTCGTGTTTGTTTACTTCGACTACAGTGGTGCTTTCTAAGCATTTGTGTCCTCGAACATCGCCCGGATTTCTTATTTGGCGCATTTCATGCGTGTGCTCAAGTTGAAGGTATTACTGGTGCGTACCGTATGAAGGATGTGAATTTTCACGCGTTTTCATCTCCGGAGAAAAGTGATTAGGGTTAGCAATCCTGAACACTCGCAACGTCCGTCCACAACCCGCGACGCCGCTAAAAGGCTGCGCCAGGCAAAAGCCGCTCATTTCTTTCAAAATGTGTGACACACTTGAGAGAGAAGTATGGTGAAATAAAGACTTTCCTCAAACTAAGCTTTATTTTTCATCTGACATAAAATAAATTCTTTTACAAAGGTAGGTTGTCTCATGGCATGTATTTTGGCCTGAAAAATTGATGTTTTGGTTATAACGCGGTACCGCTTATAGTGCGGATTTTCGCGACTCCCGCGACATACGTTATATGCGGTCTACACTGTACTTATTTTTCGTCCTGTCTGTTCTGCGTCATACCACGTGAGATTTATCGCCATCTCATTGTTGGTTTTTCTGTTTCTTGCCCTCCTGAGCTCCGAGTCAGAGTTCAAACTTACAACACAGTCGATGCGATTCCCGTCGGACACCGCGTGACGTCCGACGGGAATCGGGGGTGGCCGATGTTTTGGAATTTTTATGTTACAGACATTTAGCCAAAATAACGGAATGGGTAGTCTCTCGGGAGCGGGCATTCTTTCGGAACTTTACAGTAATTATAAAGAACAGTATTTCCCTCTTCCCTTCCCCAACTCGGAGCAGTAAACGGAGCCAGGTAGCCTTAGTTTTCCTGTTTTCTCTGTCTTGGCTTATCTGAACAAAGAAACATCTAATATGGTAGTACTCCACAGCACTCAATGCTCGGCAACACATCCTTCTTAGAGGTATCAGTGAGGCTAGGGGGGTGCAAACACAATGAAAGGGCAAAGGGTGGGTCCAGGTGGGAAAAGGCATCTCAAGACAAGTAACTCTGCAGGCTAAATGGCGCAAGCGAACAACAGTGACATATAGAATGCACTTGACAATAACTTGTTCATTGAGACATACTATACATAGAAAACAATCACTCACGGAACAAATAAAGACGTCCTCCGACTTATCAGAAACTTTTCTCACCACTCCTTACTTTGCTCTAGAAACTGCTCTATAGTCGGTGACAGGTCAAGAATGAAGTAGAAGCTCCTCCCACCCCTTTCCACTTCAGCAGAGCAAACAATAGAAAGAAGGTCGCCTCCTCTCCAATGTTTGCTCTACTAAAGTGGAAAGAGGTGGGAGGAGCTTCCACTTCGTTCTTGACCTGTCACCGACTATAGTGTCTGCAGTGACTTGCAGTTTTGACAAGTTCTTGCAGATGCTCGATTTGAAAGTAATCTTTAAAGCAGCGGACAAACTCACTTGATATCACAGTCCAGTTGCTCTCTAATGTCTTGTGAAATCCTCTTGTTGGCGTGGCAGGTGTAGTCTCGGATCACCTTTGGGATAAGGCATAAAAAAAGCTTCTTAACCGAAATTCTCGCCAAATTAAAACGATGACACACAACCCCAAAGTTTGCTTAAATGAAGCTGCGAGGTGCATGCCTAGTCCAGTTGATTCTCAACACATACAATTTCAAGGGTTTCCACCCAGGATTGCGATTGCTCCGTAATGAAGGGCAGCTACAACACCCCCTGGTCAGTTCCCGACAGCTAAGCCTTTATGGAATGATCACAGCGCAACCACAAGCTCCTCTTTAAAAAAACATATGCAAAGAAAAAAAATTTTTTTTTTTTTTAAACAGCTTGCATGAAAAAAGGACGTCATAAAACAAATTAACAGCAACGAAGAGTCTTTTTTACAGCTATATTTACAGCACAAGACAATTTTTTGTCAAGCGAGGTGTAACAGTCATCCTTTCCACTTTTCTCTCTTGCGCCTGTGAGCTCTTTGTGAAGGAGAGGTAAGCTGCTTGGATTGGCTTGGCTGCTTGGCTGAAAAACGTATGCAAGCCTCGCGAGACTTCCGCTCAACTTCGGTGCACGCTGTGTTCTTATTTTTCTGTGCTGGTGGTGATAGCTGTGGTAGTCTGCGTGTTTTGTGGTGGATCCGGACTCAAAGTGTAGACTTATCAACCGCATCAAGTAGCTAGGGCTTCGCTCATACAAGGACATGCCTCGAAGACCAGCGAACCTCCCTGCAGAAAGCTCAGAGGACAGCGATGCGCCTGCGGATAGTGGTGACACCAAGTCACAGCTTCCTCTCGAAACGTACGAGTCAAAACAAAAAGTGCCAATTTTCTTATACTTGCTGTTTCTCGAACATCAAAATATATTGTTAAAAAAAAAAGTGCAACAAAAAAACAAAGGTTTATAAGTAACTTTTAGAGCTCATAGGAAGCTTCCAAAAGAGTGCAAGAATCATGTGACTATAGTGGCCAGTGACGTGACTGTTAGTTGTCAATTTTCTGCGGGCTCCCACAAGTGCCTACAAATTTGTTTCGTGCCGTAAATATAGCTTTAAAAAAACTTCCTTTTTTTCTTTTTATATTTACTTTATGACATACTTTTTCCATCCAGGCTGTTCAAGATAAATTTCTTTTTCCTTTGCATACATTCTTAAGGAGACCATGAAGGCAATTTCGAAATTTTATTTGACGACTGAAATGGGCGTCTGGCACGTCGCAGACACTGTTGACCAAGTTCCAGCCCGTACAGAAGTTTGGGTGCTGCACCAATATTAAACGGTTGTGGTAATATTTGTGCCGGGAACGATGCCTGAGACCCCACCCTTGAGACGGCGTCAGAAAAGTGAACTAAGGTGCGCCGTCAAGGGATGACGACAACGGGCTCCTCGTCAGACGGTTGGTTCAAACGGTTCAAATGAATGATGCACTCTTGGTTTCAAATTCAATGGTGAGATGTGATAAAAAAAAGTAATTTGAACAATGGATCATTTTTTAAAGTGGCAGTTTGGTATTAATAGGTTTTATAGTGTGTATAATGTAGGTTTAGTAGCATGTATAGCGCATATAGGAATAGGTTTAATAGTATGTATAGCGTGCAGGATGACAAAGAAGAAGACTTGTGAAAGTAAATGACAGCTGTATGCTGTGCTAGTTTTCAGACGGTGGTGTGTATGTCCCTTTTTTTGTGTCCTTGTTTCAAGGTTTTATTTCTTAATTATGATTGTTCACCAGCTCGCCTGCATTTTGACTCTTATTTCGCTTCGCAAACTGGTGTCTCTTCAATCATGCCGCGTTTATGTGCTGTAGTAGGCTGCGCATTGTGTTCCCGTGACGGCGCTGTGTTGGCGTAGGCAAGTAGGGCGAAGAGTCACTCTGAGGTGGCGACTGAGGAGCCGAGGGCAGGTCTGGGGCGCCCTTGTAAAGCGCCAATCCAGAGTTCTGTGTCCTGAGCAGAATTTCACGTTCAGTCGGCATGAGGTCGCTGAACGGGAGCTTAAACTCGTTTGCAAGTATGGCATTATCGTCCATTTTTTCCGGGTTTCCTTCACAGGCCGTCATACACTATAACCAACCATGGGAACCGCGCAGAGCAGCCACTAAATCCTACCGAAACCAACAGCGCTCCTCGATGACATTTCCCTTTCCAGAGGCGAAAAAGGAAAGAAATTTGAATGATTGTTTCAGTTTCGCAAATTTATTTGTTGGCACAAAAATAAGTCACAAAGTACTAAAAAAAATTGAGTGGCATGCTAGGACACCTATGCGTCGAAAACACCTCCTTTAAAAAAAACAAATAAAATTGCCATGGTCCCTTTAAAAGACTACCATAGAAGCACTCAACAACTACAGTACTACCAAGGCAGCACACAATATTTCGCTGATATTGGCGTCAAATCCGAAAATTGTGCCGAAACCGTTTTAATCCAACCGATACCTGTGAAGTATGAGATGGGTCGTGCTAACGCCATCTTGACATACCGTGCCCGTTGCAGCTTTTTGCTAAGTCACAGAAGTTTCATTTGTGAATCGGCTATGCTGGTAAGCCATTCCGATTTTCCGATCAACTCAAAACCGACGTTGCAAAAAAAAAAAAAAAAAGGTTACGCAAAAACGGAGTTTGCTTACTTTCAGCCCGAGCAGGACAGACAGAGCAAGCATAGGGAGCTTAGCTGCTTTGTTCATCCATCACTGACCTCACCTTTTGTTAGCTCACGCCACCTTCTTTTGTGTCTTCGTGTGGCAGCGAGCGAACGTGATTGACGGCCACTTTGAGCAAATCACAGGGACGGAGCAAAACACGTGACAGCTCTGCGCAGGACAAAGTCGATTGGTTGAACATTTGTTTAGTGGAACCAGCTGAACTTACAGAAAATTATAGAGATATGAGATAAGACACCCGATCGCTGGACTACCAACTATTTATTAAACCTCCCCTTCTTCTACTAATGTTGCTACTGGTATGGTATTGCTAAGTCTTCTTTTTCCTCTGTTTCGTTCATTTTGTGGTTTGACCCCTTTTTCTTATTTACATGGACATTGGCACCCCACAAGAACTTCTTTTTACTTTGCTGTAGGGTGATTGAGGGTGAACTGACACAGTTTTCTTCTTTTTCTTCTATGGCTAAGGCCTCTAATATTTCTCGTGCGAACCTGTTCTTCTCGTGTCCTAGGATGGATGTCAGCTCGAGCTTGGCCTTGCTTTACAATGAGCAGTGAAGTGCCAAGATGCTGTCATGTTATATTTAGGTTGCCAGCATGCTCACATGCTCGGTCATTGATACAACGTCCCGTTTGCCCAATGTAGCTACACCACATGACAGTGGTACGTTGTAAATATTATCTTTTTCGTATGGGACATGCTTCGTCTTGTGCTTGGTGTTACAGGTGCTTGTCTTGTTGGCTTGTGCTTGATTGACCTTCCGGCACATTGCATGTGCCTTGTTGGGTGCCAAGCACACCACTTTCACGTCTTGCCTGGTTGCAATCTTTTTTAACCTAGGGGTGACCCCATGAATACATGGGACCACCGTAAAAAGATATTGTGGGATCTTCTTTTGTGTGTTGTGGCCAGTGCTTTCATTTGTCCTCTTGATGTTGTGGCAGATTTTTTTGTATATGGAGGCCAGTAAGGGTCTTGGATATCTGGCCTCGTGATGCCTGCACATTTGTGCCTTAAAGCTTCGCCTCATTTGGTGTGAGCATGTCTTTTTCAGGCTGGCTGAGAGAGCTGCGGTGGCTACTCCTTGCTTGACATTCTTAGAATGTTCGGACTTGAAGGGAGGGAACCTTTCCCAGATCGAGCTTGCTCGCACCAAATTAGACGAAGCTCTACGGCACAACTGTCCAGGCTTCACGAGGCTGGATCTTCAAGACCTTTACTGGCCTTTATACGGTATGGACCACTTACAACGTAACCGCTTATAGTGCAGGACCGGGTATAACGCGGTCTTTTTAAACCACCGGTTCACCTCCCATAGAACTCCATGTAATTACATACCGCTTAAAATGCAGGCGCGCGAAGGGAAATACCGGTTATAGTGCGGTTTTTGGCACGGCCCGCCGACCGCTCCGACGACCGGAGCAGCCAGCTCGCTTCCCTGTGCGACACTAGATAACGGCGCTGACGCGCTGACGGCGCGAGCCACAAGCTGCACTCGCGGGGCAAGGAGGTTGCTCGAAAACGCGGGGAGAAGCGAAGAGAGAGGCTTCAGTTGCCATAGCGACGGAGGGACGCACGCACGAGTCGTTCACGTGCGTGCGTCTCTCCGCTGCGTTGGAAACAAAGAAACAAACAACCGCAACGACAGACCAATCGCAGGTCGAGGATAAGTGTTCGCGCGCGTTGCATGCCACGCTTCTCCTCCTCCGATGTGCCGGTCGCGGGCCGGCTGCTTCTATTCCGCAAACATGGCGTCGGTTGTGATCGTCGTCGTAGACGGCGTGCATCTCGTCGTTTTGCGTAAAAGCGCTATCCTTGACTGTGCATTTTCGTTGTGTGTCGCTATGATAACCCAGCACGTACTAGAAGGGAAGATCCACCTACTCGTGCGGCGATGTAGTGGCGGCGCTCTCAAGACGGCAGAAACGCCCGTGTCGTCCTGTTTGTTTACTTCGACTACAGTGGTGATTTCTAAGCATTTGTGTCCTCGAACATCGCCCGGATTTCTTATTTGGCGCATTTCATGCGTGTACTAAAGTTCAAGGTATTACTGGCGCGTACCGTATGAAGAATGCGAATTTTCACGCGTTTTCATCTCTGGAGAAAAGTGATTAGGGTTAGCAATCCTGAACGCTCGCAACGTCCGTCCGCAACCCGCGACGCCATTAAAAGGCTGCGCCAGGCAAAAGCCGCTCATTTCTTTCAAAATGTGTGACACACTTGAGACAGAACTGTACTAGTCTGGTGAAATAAAGACTTTCCTCAAACTAAGCTTTATTTTTCATCTAACATAAAATAAATTCTTTTACAAAGGTAAGTTGTCTCATGGCATGTATTTTGGCCTGAAAAATTGATGTTTTGGTTATAGTGCGGTACCGCTTATAGTGCGGATTTTCGTGACTCCCGAGACATACGTTATATGCGGTCTACACTGTATGCAAAAAGATCTGCAACAACAACAAGAGGAAAAATTAAAGCACTGACCACAACACACAAAAAAAGATCCCACAATCACCTTTCGTGGTGGTCTCATATATTCATGAGGTCACCCATAGGTTAAAAAAGAATGCAAGCAGGCAAGATGTGAAAGTGGTGTGCTTGGCACCCAACAAAGGTGCATGCAATGTGCCGGCAGGTCAATCAAGCACAAGAAAAACACCTGTAACACCAAGCACAAGACAAAGCACGTCCCATGCAAAAAAGAAGTGATTTACAACATACCGCTTTTATGTGGACATAGTTACATTGGGCAAACAGGACGTTGTATCAACGACTGAGCACGTGAGCATGCAGGCAACCTAAGAAACCTAACAGCACCTGGACACTTAGCTGCTCATTGTAAAGCATGCAAGTGCAAGGCCAAGCTCCAGCTGACATTCATTCTAGGACACCACAAGAGCAGGTTCGCAAGAGAAATACGAGAGGCCCTAGCCACAGAAGAAAAAGAAGAACCCTGCATCAGTTCACCTTCAGTCGCCCTACACAAAAGTGAAAAGAAGATTCTGCGGGGTGCCAATGTCCATGTAGAAAAAGAAAAAGGTGGACAAATTACAGAATGAACGAAAAAGAGGAAAAAGAAGACTTAACAATACCAGTAGCAACATTAGTAGAAGAAGAAGTGGAAGCTTAATAAATAGTTTGTAGTCCAAGGATCAGGTGTCTTTTCTCCTATCTCTATAATTTTCTGTAAGTTCAGCTGGTTCCACTAGAGATGTACAACCAACTAGCTCAGCTCATACCCCTCGTAAGTTGAAATTTAGTCACATGGCTCACTTTGATGGGCTGATGGGCTCACTGGGGCTGTAGCCTTCGCCGTTTGCCAAGTTATGGTAGAGGGTAGAAGACAACATAGGACCGGCTTCCGAAATGCATTTTTTAGCGCTCACCTACTTACTATTTTCGTATGTCGCAGTCATGACAGTGGTTTTTCGTCATAAACGAAGTTCTGTTCATGCCAACTTATTTGAACTTCAAGCCTCAGCCGACTTCAGGATTTTAAATTGCTGCTCTTCATGTGCTTCACAACTCCGTCCACCCAAGTGGAAGCTCACTTCACCAAGCCACTCGGATCCGAGGAACAATGAGAGTTTTTCGGTAATGGCTGTATTCTTCGTCAAAGACTCATGGAAATTAGTGTGCCTTGCTGAATGGACGCAATTCGACAAAGAACTGGTCATGGGCGAGGCGACAGCGAGACTTCTGTTGAATGTGGTGACCTTCTTCATTCTTGACTTTGTGTTGTGTCATTAAGTGCTACCCGAATCAGATTATGCATCTGCTGTAAAATATGGAGCAAGCGTCCACTCAAAATTAGGATAGTAACCATGAAAAACTGGGGAATGGGCGCTTGCTAAGTTCAGAAGTGAAAATGCAGAAGGAGCACACTGCTGGGTGGGCCCTTGCCTGGTCCGACCACTGAACTAAGAATGGCCGTCGTTCGCCTAGATAGCCGAGTGCGCTAGTGATTGAAAGCAGAAATTTTTTCGCCAACGAAAAGGTTCCTTACAACGCTCAATACAGTTTTCACGTCAGTGGCACAAAAACTGACTCAACCATCCCTAGGCCCAACCACTTTCACTATTTCATCGTCCAAAAACGGACCACAGACGATGGCATGTTCGTTGACCTCAATATCCAATGGACGAAACATGTCTGAGGGCCAGACCCCAAATTTGTTGGCTGTGTGCGTCGCGCAGTTACGATTTATCGCTTCTGCAACTTCCCACTTGCAGCCATAACTTGCGCATGTGTTGCCATGCTTGGTTTGGCTTGACTTGAACGGGCTGCTTAACTAGCAAAGCGACTAAGCGGGAAAAGAAAAAAACAATACTGACAATCGTTTGTGGGGGGTGCTTTCATTATGTAAGCAAATATGGTTCATTGAGAAAAAGTAAAAAGTGATTAAAGATACACTCGCACTTTCCACCTTTTGTCTTCCTCTACTTTTCTCACATCCTGTCTACTTTTTACCTTGCCCCAACTTGGGAGAGGGGATTATCTTTCCTGCAGAAAACTGAAGTTGAATGTTGGCCTTTAAGTATGCATCATCTAGTATTCGTCACTAATACCGCTTCACTTGTGCTATGCACTGTCATTACCGTTAGTCAAGCAGCATCGATCACCCCAATGCATAGACTTGCTAAAAATTAACTTACAGGTAAGACAGCCAAATGGGCATGACTGACAGTTGAACTACTTAACACATCGTAGCTCTTTGGCAAAAACAGCGTGCTCCCACTTGACATTGCATTGCGGAGACTGCTTCTACCACCCAGTATGGAGAAGGCCATCCATCGTGTTCTTTAGGCACAAAGACCAAAAAAGCACGGGAAATAGTCAAGGCATTCAACATAAAAAAGGCAGGCCCAACCTGCGGAAGTCAAGCATCCTTGGTGCTTTTAGCTAGCGAGGCAGAATTTTTAGATAGAGGTGATGGGTATGCACTGCGTCACTGATTAGAAGAAATGTTGGGAAGGCGCCGAAAGCCTTTGCCATGCGCGGTCGTGACTGCCTTTTGAGTGCAGGGTCATTTTTGTTTGTTTCTTCTTGGTTTCATGAAAATGAAACCGTCAGTTGTCAGCGCTCGTGTCGTCCAGTATTTCTTTGTCCTTGTCAGTCGCGTTGTTTATATTATAAAAAACACAATGTACAAAAAAAAACATGCGCCCTAAAAACTAGCTTTTTTTCTTCTGTTCTTTGTCCCCGTCATGTTTCGCGGGGTTCTTCGAAGACTGAAAACTAACCAATCTAACCCAAGTTGCTGCCCAAAGGTGGTTGACTACTCACCGAGCGAAAGGCGCAAAGCATTTTGGTGCAGCGCCTGTTTGATCCTGTGACGACTCCCTCTGCCATTTGCAGACCAATCCTCAGGACAGCCGGATGAATTTGAGAACCTGAAAGTCTAAGAGAGTGTGGCAATTTGTTTTTCTAAACATAACAACAAATGCACAACATCATAGAAACTGTAAAGCAAGCCCGAGTTGTGTTCCTGCCCATCAGCTAAGTGACTCCGCTAAATGTTGAAGAAATCATTCTAGGATTTGTTTCAAACCCACACATACAAGCCTCCTTCTAGCCCCACAAGGAGCAAGGGGAATGAGGAGCCAAACACCAAAAGACACAAATTGAAACGACGAAGGCGGGAGAGACCAGATAAGCTAATCGCAGGAGATTGGTTATGTAACACTCTCAAAACCTTTTTTTTGCCGGTTCGTCAGTATGATGTGATGTTTCCCTGCAAAACACCAACATTCTGGGCAATGCTCACTGCTCCTATCTCCCTGTCCACACCCCAGTATAAAATGAGATTAGAACCTGATTGATACATCCTTTACTTACTGTAATATATCCTGTATGAACACCCTCGCTTGAGGGATCTTTAGAGCTGGGATTTTCGGGACATGTCCCGATTTTGAAAAATGTCCCGATAACAGTGTCAGCTACCAATACACATCTATCAAGCAATTTCCATTTGGTTTTCATTGACTCTGTTGTCCCGATTTAACCTTGGAATAGGCTTCAATAGTTCAAAAGTAGTTCATTGTATTTGTTATGGTAGGGACTACAGGCGTGCGGGCAGTAAGAAAAGGCAGGCGTCCATGCACACCGTGTGCCTGCATCGTTCACCTGAAGGCAGGATATAATTACGGTTCTGTGTTTTCGGATAAATCCAAAGAACCAGTCACCGGTAGAAGTTTCGTCAATTCAGACTTATCAAAAAAAAAAAAAAAAAAACGATTTTCAAGGTCACAAAAAAATTATAATGAAAAAGAAAGGTGCTTTAAAAATAAAGTTCATAAGAGTACAAGTGTCAGTTAGCCTGAAGAGATGCACCTTTGAAATCTCAAACCACTGACAAAAGGGGTTTGCCTTTTAGATCAAGATTCCTACAGGACAATGGGTCATGCCCGGACTTCATTTATTTTGTGTTCAATTTTCTATAAATTGGGAATGCAGTAAAATAAACTCAGAATTTCCAGGAATTGAGAATCTAACAAAATAATGTCCGACAAACTTAGAATTTTCAGCGAAAAATAGACTCAAAAAAACCTCCTCCGAATTTTACGAGCAATAAACTCTGAAAACACAGAATCCTAGATACAATGTATTCAAGAGGTTATTAAAGGTAGGAACTGAGGAAGAGGAGTTTGAGAGCATGCGAGAATGCAAGAACACCAAGCTCCGACCAGAATGACCAGTAGGCAAAGTTTAACCCCCCTCTCCCACCCGGGTGTACCCAAACATCAAATGCCGGCATTTGCCGCTTGGCGCCCGAACACGCCCAAAATGGATTAAGGCCTTCAGAATCACTCATTTATCTTGACACCTTTTACACCTATACATGCGAGCCCTTCTACTGTGCTTGGTCCCGTTAGTTCTGCTAGTCTAATTTCACGTGGAATTCAAAGCTCGCAATCATGTACTGAGGGCAGCAGGCACGTGTCAAGCTTAAGCGTCTTGCATCAGCAGGCATGTTGAGCTTCATTGCTATGTGTCAGAGTGCCAGGAATAGCAGCTGATGTGGGGGAACATCTGCGTTAGTTCGGCAACAAGTTTGGAAATTTGGTCAAACCTTACAAACTGACATTCATTGATTACGATTAAAAATAGACTCCTAATTCTGAACATAAAATTAAAAGAAGTGTTAAGCTGCATTTGAGTAAACACGGTAGTTCTTTACAGCCCTAAATGTGACTAAAATAGATTGTTTAAACTTAAAACCTTTTTATAGAAGTCCGTTGTCTGGTTAGCTTAAAATCATAATAGTATCATGAAAAGAAACTTCCAGCCGATCCCTAAATGTGAACGGGCCAAACGTTCAAAGATGAAAAGGCCTTGTTACATAAAGGGATTTGTTGGAACTTTCTTTTTATAGAAAATTAAGATATCTGTGTGAGAGTTGCATCGAAGGTCAAATGCAAAAAGCTTAGACCAAGCCCACCTGTAAAATAATGATGCAAGCAAACCATAGCCGTTCCCTTTCACAGTGACTGTTAGAGATGAAGCAGAACATTATGTCATTTAGTCTGCTTGCAAATGCAATACGAATATCTACACAATACATAGTTCACTTTCTGATCACCTCCTCCTTGCATGGGTTGCCTTTGCAAAAAGAATAGGAGCTGCACAGGTATATGCTCACTTGCAATTTCGGAGCATGGTGCTGTCATACAGTAAAAACATTTCTGAACTTAGAGCAACATTTTTATTTTGTTCATTCCTGCTCAGAATTAGTGCATGCTCTTACAGTTTGTGTACTTTTCAGCTCAAGAAAACAGCTCAATTGTCTTGCAAAACATATCCTCTGCAAGTGTTATTCGAATAATGAAGCTGAAATCAATAATGGATGGATAAGGTGTGGTGAATTTTGCACACATACCCATAGGACCTTAAATGGTCAACCGTCCCAGGATTCTGCTCAAGGTGCGAGAGTAAATGAAGCTCCTTCTGCTTTCTGGCCTCCCCAGTGCTCTTTTTCGGTACTTTCTTGGCTGCATCTGCAAAAAGACAAGTTGAAAGAAGCTGTAAAACAAGACGAAAAAAGATGGCAAAGAAGAGTCGAGAGTAGATTAAAAATAGAAGCTGCCATGAAGTTTTTACTTCAGAGAACCACAACTAACAAAGTCATGCATTGAATGAAAAGCTGTTCACAGCCCTTATAGCATCTTGCACGCCTGGAAAACAATGTTGGCAGCGCGAGCATTTCGTGTTTGCACCGCCTTTCAGTAAGTCAGGGGTTCTCAAACTTTTTGGTCTTACGGAACCCCACGAAGCCTCAAAAACTGCCACGGAACACTCCTCCCCCCCCACCCCCCCTTCCTCTATATTTGCCGACCGAGAAGCAACAGATGCACAATTGTAGGCAATTTTGCTTGTGTTGCTTCCCATATATCCCCACCATATCAATCGCGATGTCAGTACAAAGTGAGATGAAGGCGCTTTGCATGGTCCTGCCGCACAGCCTGCGGCGGGAGAGGGTGGATTGGGGGGAGGGGGGGTGGCAATTTGGGTGTTCGCGGAACCCACGAGACCAGCTCGTGGAACCCCTGTGTTCCCCGGAACCCAGTTTGAGAACCCCTGCTGTAAGTAACCCTTAAATCCATCTCCATCACCTGAACGTCCCAGATGTACTTTTTCTTTACCAGTGGGTAAGAGGGAAGCGTTCTAGAAAAGAAGTCAACGTATGAGCTCTCACTGGAGGATTCCGGCTCTACTTTCTTCGACACGCTTTCGTCATCTGCTTTGAAGTGCAGAGAATCAGAGTCCGCACACTCAGATCCTCTTCCATACGGTCGTTGTTGCTGCGACGGTGACCAACGAACAAAACTCGTCGCTTTCTCAGTTTGGTGAGCGCTGGAGGATCACTAATTATTTCACGTTACTGCAAAATTAGAAATGTCATGCATGCGAGCCTTAATGGTGAAGCGAAATCCTTGCGGAAGGACAACCGGTGAGATTTATGCAGCTACTCGCATAGCAAAGCTTCATCACGGCAGTGCACAATGCTACATACTTTCAATTTGCCGCCCAACGGCCCAGCAAAAAAAAAAAAATGTTTGTTGACATGCGATATGCACCGGGCCTCAGTGTTTATAAAATATTGTTGATGTTTACATTATAACCTCCTTGGCTGTGAGTGAATCACTTAAAGGGGCCCTGCAATCATATGAGTCTATCTTTTTGTGGTTTCCACGTCTCTCGGGGTTTGGGCAAGCCAGCGGGCACGAAGAGACTAACTAAATATTAGAGCACCATATTTTAACCGGACGACGCGGAAGCCTCCTCCACCTACAAGGGAGACACGCGGTGCCGAAAGCGCGCGATATGTGACGTCTTTGGTCCTGGGCTTACTACTGGTCAGGGCCACTAAAAGCTTCTTTTTAGTCGAAATACAAAATACAGTCAAACCTCGATGTAACAAACTTCCATGCAACGAAACCCTCGATGTAACGAAGTACATAACTTTTTGTAACCGCAAGTGTATGCACGCCGTGTATTTTTGACCTCCATGTAACGAAGACCCGTTTGCCGACATTTCTATGTAACGAAGTTTCACGAACAATTCGGCACAAACTTTTGGGTCACAAAGGCGATTTTGGGAAGAACATGCGTTGAAACGGGCCCCCAATGAAGTGCAAAGGGTGAAACGGGTCGAATCTGGCGAGTGGGGTGTACACAACGGCCACTAGAGGACACTAGAGCCGCTGCCATTTCGTCCGTCGGCTTCGTTTGCGCTGTGTAGTTCGTTTTGAGGCCTAACTAAAAGTGTGCATTTCTCGTTGTCCTGGGCGATAAAGCCTTGAAGGCGATGAAGCCACCCCTAATAACGTCAACCTCGACGACTTTCTATTCGCCGACTCTGCTGTCATTGCGAAGGAGGAGGTGACAGACGAGGCGATAGCTAGCGATGTTCGTGGGAACTTGCGAGACGGGGACAACATCAAGCCTGAGGAGAAAGACACCTGCGATGTGCCCAGTAACCGTGAAGTGGTGGACGCGATCAATGTCTAGAGGCAGTTCGCAAGCACACAGCAAGACGAAGACACGATGCAGGCCGTCTGGCTATGCGAACATCGTGGGATGCCAATAATAATGCCAAAAATGTCCCAGAAAAAGGTGACGGACTAGTATCAACCGAAATAAAGGCGTCCTCGGTGAGTTTTGTGCACCCGAGAAACATTTGTGGAAACTTTCTTTATTGTTAGCCCTGAATTTCTATGTAGCAAAATTTCAATGTAACGAAGTAAATTCCGTATTTTACCGACTTCGTAACATCACGGTTTGACTGTATAAGTGGTGCAAACCGTTTCAATTATTTATAAAAGTAGTTTTTTTTCAGTATTTTAGATCAGAAAAGAAACAAATGCAGTTTATAAAGTATGGAAACAAGAAATGACCCGTCGCAGAAGAGCAGAGGAGGAGAGGAGGAAAGCCGTGATGTTTGCCTGGTGGCTGCCCAAATGGAAGATGGACTGCCAGACTTCAACTGTTTTAACTTTCACTTCATATGGCAGTGGAGTGTCGCTTCACAGATTTCGAAGTACTCTGCTTGGACACCCCTTAATGGCCTCACTTAAATCTATTGGTTGTATAACAAGTTCCCATTATCCAATATATTTTGAAAGAACCCTACAGAGGACTGTTATCTTTGAACGGCCACTTCTGCGAGCAAGTTTTGGTTAGGATGAACACAATGAACTGCGGCACTGGCTGTGCTGCTGCAACTGATGCTGTTAACGTTTACCGGGGCCAACAAAGCATGTAGCCAGTGTCTTGGGGAGGGGAGGTTCAACGCACAGGTGAGAAGATGCCCATGACCGCCTAGATCTTAAGAGCTCTCTCAAGGTCATGGCATGCCCACACTCTGCTAGCCGAGCCCCATAGTTTGGCAATTTTCTTGTCCTTCCTTTTTTTGACATAATTTGTGCATTTGTGAAGTGGCAAAGCCCACCAAGCCTGTGGCTGCCCCAGCTTTGTTCCTCTTTGTGCTTTGTGCGTTTTTCAGAAGGTTTGCCGGCTTATTGTCTCATTTGTCCTTTGGGGGCGCTCTTGTGTTGAGTCTTGATGGTAGGCACTCACACACTTCGGACATTCCCAGGTCATCATGTTGGAGGTGGTCTCAACTCAATTCTTTTTTTTTTTTTTATCTTTTCCGTAATTTGTGCACGCGTGGAGTCCGCCAATCCCAGAGTTTCCGCAGCTTTATTCCTCTTTGTTCTTCCTTCAAAAGGTTTGTCGGCTCGTTGCCTCGTAGTCAGGTGTGATCTCGAGTCTTGTCTTGACTGTCAACGCTCATGATCTTCAGACACTCTTGGGTCATCATGTCAGAGATGGCTTTGACTTCAAAGAAACGGAAAGCTATGGAAGGGAATATTAAACCAAGCCTACAATTCAGGAGCTCAGCCTGAAAATTTCCCTCTGAAATTTTATGGAAATGCTCAAGGCCTACTGAATGGAAATCAGGCCTGCTAGCATCAAAAACTGAATCCCAGAGCTGGAATTTTGTTTCCTTCAACCGAGGTTTGTGAAGAGGATAAGCACGCCACCATCCTATCCCTGGGGACACAAGCTATCGACACCAACAGACTCGGGATGATTTCGTTAACACCAAAGATGCAGTTACCTCAAAAAGTGTCTCCGACGAAACAGTTGTGCGAGAGTTGCAACCGATTGATCGGGACATTGCAGCATTTGATGATGCGAATGACGACGGCAATGAGGTTGCTCCCTCACCTTTGCCGATCCTGAAGACGACGGCATTGGGCCTAATAGCATTGTCGAAGTGGCTGGTGTATGTCAACAGAGCGAGCAACGTCCATGTAGATAATGTAGAAACTGAAAGCAATCGTGAAATTCCCCGGTCTCTGCTGAACGTTTCTTCACAGATACTGCTAGCTCTCTCTTAGAGTTGTGGTAGGTGTTTGGGTCGAACACGAAGTCACAGGAAAGAAAAGAAAAAAAAAACACCCTTGAATATAAAACGTACAACATGTACAGAAAAATTTCGTTAGTTCGACCTCGGTTAATTCAATCGTGTTCAAGAGACCCGGCGAGCGCCCATACATTTCTATGGGAAGAAACGTTTGATAGTTTGAACTCGGGAAGAATCCGCATCGAATGCGCACGGGCTCACATTGCAGGGCACCACGGCAGAAAAACCACCACTGTACGGCGAAACACGGGCCCTTTGCTGCAAAGCCTGCTCCTCTATGCCATTGAGATGAACCGTAGCGAATGACGCCAGCCAGCGCACAACCAATCTGGCGTGGAGTGGCGCGGAGAACATAAGCACGTGGTCGGGCGCAGACTCAGCGCGCGCTCAAAGCGCGAGTTCTCTTTTCCTTTTTTTTCTGTTGTTATTTTTCTCTGTCGCCAACGGTTTGACCGCCCGGCGCCAAAGTCAGCTCGTAAAGCTTTCTTGGAGCCCGCTCTCAAAGCGCTTTTCTATAGCATCATGCGCATGTGCGGTCCATCTTGCACGTCAGAAAGCGCCGGTTCTCTTTTCCTTTCTTTTTTGTTATTTTTCTCTGTCGCCGACGGTCTGGTTGCGCAGCATCACAGTTAGCTCGTAAAACTTACTTTTCTTTTTTGTAGTGCACAATTTTTCGGGGTTGTGACGTTTAGTTATGCTGTTCTCTGGAGCATGCTTTTAGACACGCGTTTTAACCGTGAGTATTGTGGGCAATAAAAGGAAGCTTAATTTTAAGCATTCTTCTGTCCTTTTTTTAATTCCATTATTCGGATAATTCGACCAAATTTCGAGGTCTCATCGAGGTCGAATTAACGAAAGTTTACTGGAGTACAATGGCAATGCAATTGTTAGATGTGGAAACCGCAGAATATGAGGCATTGGAGAGGTAGAAAGCTCTCCATAACATCTACAGAGGGAAGGATAGCACTCGGTGGGAAATGTTCTTACTTGTCGTCTTCCTCATTGTCTGAATGCACCTTTCGCACGAGCCCTAGCATTTTGCCATCCTGAAATTCAACTGTGCTA